GGTTCCCGGTCCGGTCCGGCTTTTAAAACCATGCATGGAAGTAGCTTTCAGCAAGATATGGAGCTTGGCCATCGTGGGTTAGAGGTGGGCAAGGGACCGGTCTCTTGTGGGCCCAGGCTTGGGCCTGTTTGGGACTGGTCCCACATGGGACCAGTCACGGTCCCAGGCCCATGAGAAAAATCAGGACCCGGACCAGGCCCTAGGCCTGGTCGGGACTGGTCCCATGGGCCCAGGATCGGTCCCATGGGCCTTGGGTAATTTCATTTTCCCCCTTCAATTTTTTTTATATTTTGAGGGCAAAACAAAATTTTATAGGAGGTTTTTAGTATTTTTTAGGGGTAAATTTTATAATTTTTTTAGACCTGGAAGATTTTTTTTTTTTTTTTATAAATTTTATAAAATTTCATTTTAATCATCGTAATTTATATTTATTTTAAAATTAACAGGGGGTTTTATGTAATTTGATAGGGATTACATTAAAAAAATACAATTTTTTTTATGCCCAGGCCTGGGACCTTGGAGGAGGGCCCAGTGGAGGGCCCGGGCCCTCCTCCTTAGGCCTGGTCCCGTTTTGGGACCAGGCCTCCTAGGTCCGATCCTCTCAAGGACCGGTCCTAGGACCGGGTTTTAGAGCTGGGCTTTTGGGCCTGGTCCCAAATGCCCAGCTCTACGTGGGTATCATGAAAATTGGTTTTTTTTTTTTTTTTTTTCAATTACACCCAACTTATTTTTTAATACAGTAGAATCTCTTTGTGGTTATAACGGTGAGATTAAATTAATTTTATTACTATAAAATAATTATAACATAACAGAATTGTAGTTAAAAAAAATATTCTTTTAACTCAATTATAATTAGTGCATGTGGTATAGACTATAGTACATAACATATGTACTAAATTAATAATTAATTAATGAAGCATGTCAAATCTAAGGTATAGATGTTGATAAAAGAGATAAACATAAGTTCATGTGAAAATATTGTAAATATATTTGAGAATCTAGAAATATTTTGACTTTAACAAGGAGTTGGTGAGTTGTTACGTATCTGTAAGTTTAAAGATGTGGTAACAATTTTAAAGTATAAATCATTGTTTCAAACAACTTTAGGTAAATATTTTATTTCATTTTGAGCCTTTAATATAACATATCATATATTTTTTACTATGTGGAGACGAAACCTTCAAATAAGAAATAGAAAAATTATAATTGATCCAAGTTGGGACCAGAATTTTTTTATGACTACATAGAGGTTATTTCCATATAAAATCATTGTTTTAAAACCCGGACTGAAGGGTAACCCGTTTTGCTGCCTAGGTCATGGGTCAACCAGTCTAACCGGTTGGACCGATCGGTTGGACTGATGATGTTAGCAACAATTTTATTTTTAAAAAATCACATATTAATCTCTTAAATTTTAATATATTACAAAAATTTCCCTAAAAAGTTCAAATTAGTCCCTAAAATTTTTATTTATTTAAAATGCCCCAAAAAATCACCAATTAATCCCAAAACTTTTGACATATCTCCAAAACACCCCTATAAAATTATAATTAACCCTTATAATTTTAAAATATTACAAAAACCCCCTAAGACCTGCACTAGACCGAAGAAGCTACTAGGTCCCGGTCGGACTTTCTGACCAGCCGGTCCAGTTTAGTTTTTAAAACAAAGTATAGAATATCACTAAATAGATGTTCTACTATCGTAAACAATTGTTCTCCAGTACAAAAGCGTAATTGTGATCAACTGTTTGGCACACTACCGCAAACTCAATATGCTTTATTTACCAACCTACGACATTTTAAGCACTCTTGACAATTGCTCTTGTCACTTTCTCGACTTCAAGTTCAAAGTGTTTCTACTTTAACGTCCATTTCAAGCATTACTGACCATTGCTCTTGTCAATTTCTCAAGCTCAAGTTCAAGTTCAAGTTCAAGTGTTTCTACTTTAACGTCTATTTTAGGTACCAGCTTTAAATAAGTGGGAAATTCAATTATTCAATGAATGTGCTTGAAAATGGAAGTGAAGGAAGGAAAATCAACGGTTCTCTTTAGCATCATTATTATTCCCAACTCAGAAATTTAAGAAAAGACCAGCAATTTTCTTCCAACCCCAACACTCTTTAAAACAAATGCTGGTGCCACTTTTTGTAGATCAAATTAATTTTATAATATTAAGAAGGTTGGAGTTTGGGACCATTTCGGTTTGAGATCATTCTCCCACAACTATTGATGATAATGGCAAGTTAGGATACAGCTTTCATTTACACTTACACTTGCGTGAGATCTTGGTTCTCTGTTAGTGGGTTGTCAAAGTCATATCACTTGAGTCAAGCTTGGCTTCAACTAAGTTTCTGTAGTCATATCTTCTCCCTTTAAACATGGTTCCTAGATTTCTAACCCCATGTCCCAAAGTCAAAACCATTTTTTTGGTTCCAAGTATTATTATATCAGTTCTAACTCTGATGAATTCAGTGTACTTGTTCATTTTCTGGCTCAACTTCAACTTTCAACTACTCCCTTTTAATACAAGCCCCTCAACTTTCATTTTGCATACATCATTGATGCATAACACAAAATTTTCACTTATCTTGGTGAATTTGAAGTACTAAACCCAGGAAAAAAAGTTACCAAAAATCTTCAACTTTGTCCCAGTTGACAGCCAGTAATTAGCTCTTGTAATTAACCAACAAAAACTTGATAAGTTAACTTGCTGGGCAGTTCCATTGACTGAGAGGCTGATGAAAGGCTTCAAACAAGTTTTTTTCTATCACCACAAATAAATAGGAGCATGAAGTTAAATGCTACTGAAAAAACTGTATAATTTTCTATTTGACCATAAGGGTTTACAGGGAAACAATGGGCACTGAATCTTTTTCCGATGGGCTGGGGGATTGGTTGTAGTGGAGGTAATCATTCCTCAGCAGCTTAAAGCTATGCCGACTTTTCAGTGGTCGGTTTATATTTTCCATTCTTTCCACTAGGCTCATTGCATCATCTTCCTCCTAAGGTCAATCGTCCTTGTATGTTGATTTTTTTTACTTACTTCTTCTCTTTCCACTTAGGTCAATTAATTAATTCATTACTCTCTTTTTCTTTCACATGTTTGCTCCAACTCCAAGGTATTCTTCTTACGTTGGATTTGATTCCACTAAGGTGATATATATATTTTTCTTTTGGTGACCGAGGGTGTCCGGATCAGCTTGCCCGCACTTCAACTAATCATTTGGGACCCTTAAGTTGACAACCATGTAAATCCCCTTAGTGACTGTCCCTATTAATAACCCATATAGATCAAACTAAAAACCTCTTGAGTAATGAAGAGTTTAGGTCATATAAAAAGTCCTTTAGAGACACTCTTATATACTGATATCATATCTAAGAATGAAGTCAATCTCATTAATAGAGAGTAGTTTTTAGAAGAATATAAAAATATCACCTTAACCATCAGTGGGTGGCCTAGCAGTCAACTAAGATTCTTGGGTGTATTACTCAAGAGGTTTTGAGTTCGATCCATATAGGTTATTAATAGGGGCAGTCAGTAAGGAGATTTACATGGTTGTTAACTTCAGGGCCTCAAATGATTAGTTGAGATGCGGGCAAACTAATCCGAACACCCTCGGTCACCAAAAAAAAAAAATATATATATCACCTTAGTGGAATCAAATCCAATACCTTGGAGTTGGAGCAAACATGTGAAAGGAAAAGAGAGTAATGAATTAATTAATTAATTAACCTAAGTGGAAAGACAAGAAGTAAAAAAAATCAACATACAAGGACGATTGAGCTTTAGGAGGAAGATGATGCAATGAGCCTAGTGGAAAGAATGGAAAAAATAAACCGACCATTGAAAAGTCGGCACAACTTTTGTTCATTATATTTAAAAATCAATGAAAATGTTCTTTATTTATATGAAAGATGTTTTTTAAAATAGAGAGTACCATTAGAATTACTCTAATAGTACACTTACGCTTTGATTAAGAATTTTTGTAATTAACCTTTTAAAAATCTAAACGTCCAAACATGAAAAAAATTTATATATTCGAATTATACAAGAAACTTTATAATGATTAGTTTATATCATGTTTGCTGTATACACATGACATGAGAAGGTGATGAATGTTTGGGTTGAAGTTTGTGCTCTACTTGTTAGGATTCATATGTCATCTCAACTTAGAATCCTCAATCACAAGCTGCTTACTTAGTGCTTTCATCAACACCAATAATACGAAGAGTTGAACCAACATGCATCCATGATTGGAGGGGTGATCTTTTCACTCCCACCACCACTCGGGAAAAATAGCTTAATTAATTCCCCTTGCTTTGACAATCAATGGAAGACCGATGGTTTTGTCCATCTTCTGTTTGGTTAATTTGTTTAAAAAATACATTAATATTACGTATACAAATTTCTCAAAGTCATGTGGTTATGTCTTATCAGTATCACATCAATTGGAATAAGAGATTTATTTCTTTGTAATTAATACATCGTTGACACTTACCGGATGATAGTGAAAAGATAAAAGAGGATGTAACATAGTCTAGTTTGAGTCACCACGATTCTTAATAAAGATAGTTATCTGAACTCTTATCCAGTTAGTAGTTATAGAGAAAGATCTAATATGGTCTCCTGAATTTGAGTTCTCACGACTCTTAATAGGTGTTATTAGAGCTCTTATCCGGTCGGTAGTTTCAAAATTTTAGGAGATTAGTTGAGGTGCACGCAAGTTGATCCGGACATCCCTGATCAAAATTTAGATCCTGAGTTTGTATATGTAACACTCATTACTTCATAAATATGAAATAGTAGCGTTTGTTTTGGCGATTTTTTCTACATTATTGAATGATTCTTTCCTTATTAGGAATCTGAAATATAGAAAACAGTAAAGGTGACATTTTGATTCTTGTTTGCTTCATTTGCTTAGTGCTTATAGATACTAATGATCAAAATCTCCTTTCAAATTGAGTGAAATGTTTTGCTTAGTGCTTAAACAAATATGAATTATACATGATTCATAAACAGTGTTGTCCATCAAAGAGGCACAATACATAACATGAAACTTGGATTTTGGTCTTTATTCTATTCACAAACACATGTGAAAGTTGAAACATTAATAACACTACTTTTTTTTTTTTTTTTTTTTACATGATATGAAAAGTCTAATTATGGGTACCCTATAAGAGGGGGAGCAAGTGGAGCCTTCTTTAATTATGTAGAATAGTCAATTTCAATCTTGGCGAAATCCAGGGTTTTCTTGCCCTGCAACTTGTTTGTTACATAGTGTTTACTGTACTCTCCATGGTTATATCTTCTATACTTGCATAGGTTGTTTTCATCCAACAGTTCAGGCATTGGACCAAGCTCTGTTTCATAATCAGGAGCGTAGAATGTGGCAATGGAGAGTCGGTCTTTTTCTCTGTGTGTCACTGCCCTGTGCTCCACACTTTTGTATCTGCCATTTGTTAAAACCTACATCATAATGATACTAATAAATTAGCAAGAACCATAATTTTTTAACATTCAGAAAAAGGGTTTAAGTAATTCACTAGATTATGCTTTTCTTACTTCCATTGTGTCACCAATGTTTACAACAAGTGCATTTGCAATAGGCTGAACAGGGACCCATGTGTTGTTCTTAAGAATTTGAAGTCCTACTGAGCTACCCTTGCCCTGTTGCAGCACTGTGAGAGCACTTCCATCTGAATGTGGGCTAAGACCCAAAACAAGGTCAGGTCTTGAACATGGTGGGTAGTAATTCATTCTCACAGCTTGCACAGCTACCCCAAACATTTTTTCAAATACATCACCTTTCAAACCCAGGCTCATTGCTATATATTTCAACAGATTCTCACAAAGTTTCCTCACTCTGCTTGAATAATTCTCCAGAGTTTGACTGCCGAAAAGCACAAGTATTACATTTGGTAAACCAAAATATGACATTTCTGCAAGTTACATTTAAGGGGTTATTACTATTACCTGAACTCAGCTGGTTCTGCAGGCCACAGTTTTGGGTTCCTTATGCAGTGAGGCTCAACCCCAAGAGCAAACATGTTACACCAGTCTAATTTTTGGTTTTCCGAAAACACAAAAGCTTGTCCATATCCTTGAACTGTCCCTGGAGCCATGGGGTATTTTTGTTTCTCTTCTAAAGGCAGCATGAAGAAATCTTTGGCCACCTTCTCTATGCTTTCAAGTAAACTGAGATCAATCTCATGGTTGATCACCTGAAAAAAAGTAACTAAAGATTAGTTTCATCATAACTATTTTTTTTTTTTTCACAAAGAACTTCAGCATGAATATTAAAACAATATATATGTACCTGAAAGAATCCCCACTGTTCACAGGCAGTAGTGAGGTTTAAGATTTCACTATGAAACTCATCTGGGTTGCCTTTGATGAGCTTTGAGAAGTTGATAATGGGAATGTCAGTAGCTGATGATAAAGCTGTGGCCATTGTTGGCCTCTCAGTTAAGTCCCTAACAAATCTTTCAGGAATTGTGGTTGGTTTGGCCTTTCTCAGTTCCTGAACATCATCAATATGACCAACTTTGACAGGAAAAATTGGTGCTGGAGCCATTGAAACAGAATTTTGAAGCAATAAATTACTAACTCAAAAGTAAGAAGTAGCAAAAAGCTTTACTTGGGAGCTCCACTGCTTGCCCAACTCTTTATTTATAGAGAAAGAAGGTTAAATATCCAAACACTTTGTTGCATTATGTGTGGTCCGTAGGGGCCCATTCAGCTCTTCATAATTTAAGAGAACTTTGATTTACAAGCAAATGCATCGTGATTCATGGAAACAATGAGCTTGGACCACAACTGACACAATCTGATCAGTAATAAAACACAAACTGGGTAGTGCTTACCATATTTCATCTTTAAATAATATTTCTTTTCCAATTTTCAAGTCTGGCAGCGTAATATGCTTTTATCCCTTTTTTTTTTTTTTTTTTTACAAATACACCCCAGCCAGAATTAGTGTCCAAATGTGTTTAACGTCAATCTTTTCCTGTATACATCCCCATGGTCACAACTTGAAAAATTTTGGTTCCCCTTTTTTTTTTTTTTTTTTTTTTTTTTTTTTTTGTGGATGTAAAAAGTGAACAAACTTAAAAAGGTTTGAGAACCCAAATAACTCCAATCAATTTAGCATTTGTGGAGAATAAGCAACAAAGATCTTATCTGATAAAGACTGAAACCTGAACTTCACATGCTGTAGAAACACTTTTTTATCTCTAACTTTGTTTGACTCTCTTGAAATTATCCGGCACAAAAGTGGACCAAACTTTCAGTTTTTTCCAAGCTCACCAAGTGTCTTACCTTTAAAAATCAGCATGTAAGTAGAAATAATTAATCTTTAATATTTGCCCAAGAACAGTTTCTTCTGCAAACTGCTATTTGATCTGTCAAATATTCATAATTGGAGGACTTATCTTATGGAATATGTCCTGTTTGTTTGTCTGTTTATTTGTTGGTATTTTATCGCATCATGATAAAATAGAATATGAAGGTTTAACTACTTGGGTGGTCGAGTGTATTACTTAAAAGGTCTTGACTTCGAATCCCTTTTTCAAGCTCTTACTTGGTCGATAGTTACAGAGTTCTAAGAGATTAATTGAGATACGTTTAAGTTGATCCGAACACCCCATTATCAATATGTATAGATAAGTTTAAGTGAAAGACTAAAGAGGGAAGAAATGAATCAAATAATATGCTAGTAGTACATTAAGTTGTCCCTCTTTGCAGACCTTGTGAGTGGTAGTAATACTAGTAGGTAGGGGCCATTCTCCAACCATGTCTCCTATTCTGCAGACCAAAACTAGTGTCCATTGTCATCATGCCTTTGTCCACCTTTCTCATTTCTCCTCTACTTGGATAAATAAATTAAAAAAAAAAAAATATGCTCTTTTGGTTTTCAAGTCCTTGAACACCCCACAACTTGGGCTTTCGTAGGCATCAACTAGCTTTAATATGTTTTAAATGTGTCAAATTATTTGATTTTAGGGAGAAAGAATGACCTTTTCCCACCCAAGGTTTGGCGAAACGACACTTTTCCACCCTTCAAGTTTAAAAAAGACAGTTTCCCTCCCACCATCCGTTAACTTTAACTGAAAAAAGATAAAACGGTAAATTCAAAAAACAGTTAAAGGGTTATTATGTCATTTTATTCCCTATGTATAAACTTAAAAGGAAAAACAAAAACCCTAAATTCAAACCCTTCTATCCTTCTTCTCCAAAATCCTTCAATCCCAAAACCCATTGGCGATAGTGGACGGCTGAATCCGATCAAACGATATCTCAAAACTTTACAGCTGGTAAATTTAAAGATCGCGCCACCTCCGCTCGTGCTAGAAGTTGTGGTGGATGTTGTCGTTGTTGTGAAGATTGTAGTTATTGCGTTTGATGCGGTAGTGACGGTGGTTGATTTTGTGGAGGCTATGTCATTATAGTGGAGGATTTTGGGGAAGCGATGACGAAGGTTAGGGCACAAAAAGAAAATGGGTTGGAGAATTTCAAGGCAGTGTGCTCCAAATTGCGTGCCCTGAAAGAATAAACAAAACCTGGTGGAAGCTCTTCAATTTCAGCATACTTTTTGGAGGGAGAAATCTAGGGTTTCTTGGTTTAAAGAGGGAGATAGATGTTCCAGATACTTCCATAATTGTGCAAAGATTAAACGTGCTAAATCTTTCATTCATGCCCTCTCTATTGATGATGTTTTAGTGGAAGATAAGCAAGGAAGAAAGATAAAAGTGGGATTGGGNGACCTTGTGAGTGGTAGTAATACTAGTAGGTAGGGGCCATTCTCCAACCATGTCTCCTATTCTGCAGACCGAAACTAGTGTCCATTGTCATCATGCCTTTGTCCACCTTTCTCATTTCTCCTCTACTTGAATAAAAATTAAAAATTAAAAAAAATATGCTCTTTTGGTTTTCAAATCCTTGAACACCCTACAACTTGGGCTTTCGTAGGCATCAACTAGCTTTAATATGTTTTAAATGTGTCAAATTATGAAATCAAATATTTCTCACATTAAGATTCAGAGGGTTTGATTTTAGGAGAATGACCTTTTCCCACCCAAGGTTTGGCGAAATGACACTCCCTCACCCTCCAAGTTTCAAAAAGACAGTTTCCCTCCCACCATCCGTTAACTTTAACTGAAGAAAGATAAAACGGTAAATTCAAAAACAAAAATACTATGCTTACTCACGAGTTTTACTAATCGTCTTACTACTTTTGTTAAAATTACACATAGTATCTATACTATGCATATAATATCCGTACTATACGTTATATTTACAAAGGATAGTAAGATGGTGATTAAACATAGTATTACTCATTCAAAAAACAGTTAAAGGGTTATTATGTCATTTTATCCCTATGTATAAACTTAAAAGAAAAAACAGAAACCCTAAATTCAAACCCTTATACCCTTCTTCCCCCAAATCCTTCAACCCCAAAACCCATAGGCGATAGTGGACGGCTGAATCCGATCAAACGAGATCTCAAAGTTTTACAGTTGGTAAACTTAAAGATCGCGCCACCTCCGCTCGTGCTAGAAGTCGTGGTGGATGTTGTCGTTGTTGTGAAGGTTGTAGGTATTGCGTTTGATGCGGTAGTGATGGGGGTTGATTTTGTAGAGGCTGTGTCATTATAATGGAGGATTTTGGGGAAGCAATGACGAAGGTTAGGGCACAAAAAGAAAATGGGGTGGAGAATTTTGGGGCGGTGTGCTCCAAATTGCGTGCCCTAAAAGAATAAACAAAACCTGGTGGAAGCTCTTCAATTTCAACATACTTTTTGGAGGGAGAAATCTCGGGTTTCTTGGTTTAAAGAGGGAGATAGATGTTCCAATTACTTCCATAATTGTGCAAAGATTAAACGTGCTAAATCTTTCATTCATGCCCTCTCTATTGATGATGTTTTAGTGGAAGATAAGCAAGGAAGAAAGATAAAAGTGGGATTCGGATTTTTTCTTTGAGAGGTGAAGAACTTGAAGATTTTTAAGTTGGTCGGAATGCACCCACCAATTCCGACCAACTTTTTTTCAGTTTTTTATTTTTAATTTTTATAAATTTTTTTCAGCTTGGATATGGATTTAAATTAAAGGGTATTTTTGTCTTTATACTAATTATCAACTTATTTTACTAACGTTTCTTAACAATGGGTGGGAAAGTGAGTGTCGTTTTGAAACTTAATGGGTGGAAAGTGTTGTTTCACTAAACTTTGGGTGGGAAAATGTAGTTCTCCCTTGATTTTATTATAAATATAAAGCTTTAGATTAAATAAAGAAACACCTCAATCACCAAAGATTTAGGAAGACAAAATTATGAGCTACTGGTTTTTTTTTTTTTTTTTTCAACTAGGCTATTTTATATTATGAATTTATGAGTGTTATCCTTTATTAGGACATTTAGCTTTTGCTCAAAGGGGGGGCCGTTTTTACATTCAGATGATGAGAATCAGAAAGTCTTTTAATCAAGTTCTCTTTTTTACCTTTCCCTCTCTCGGTCTTTCCCGCCAAATTAAACAGTCTTTTTTTCACACCAAAGTTTGTTTGATTGAAAAGCTTCAGAAATGTAACCATTTAATTTCTCTATACTTAACTCACACCAACATTTTGAAATCTGGGTTTTTCAACGACACTTTTACCGCAAATCATCTCATAAATTGCTATGTGAGGCTCCAAGAAACCCTGAATGCGCATAAAGTGTTCGACGAAATGCTTGACCCAAACGTTGTATCATATACTTCACTCATGACTGGTTATATTAACATGGGTCAACCCCAAACTTCTCTATTTATTTTTAAGGAAATGTTTGGAAGCTCAGTTTTGCCTAATGAGTTTACATTTGCGACAGTTATTAATGCGTGTTCAATGCTTGCTGACCTCAAAACCGGTACAAAGATTCATGCCCAGGTTGAAGTTTTTGGGTTAGAATGTAACCTTGTGGTGTGTTCTTCACTTGTTGACATGTATGGGAAATGCAATGATGTGAATGGAGCTAAGGGGGTTTTTGATAGGATGAGTTGTAGGAATATTGTTTCTTGGACTTCCATGATTGTAGCTTATGCGCAGAATGCTCAAGGTGATGAAGCATTAAGAATGTTTAGAGAGTTTAATTATTTGTTGAGAGACTGTCCGAATCAGTTTATGTTATCCAGTGCGGTCAATGCTTGTGCTAGTCTCGGTAGGCTAGTTTCTGGGAAGGTTACACATGGAGCGGTGATTCGTTGTGGCCATGATTCAAACTATGTGGTTGCTAATGCACTAGTCGACATGTATGCTAAATGTGGTTGTGTTACTTATTCTAATAAAGTTTTTCAGACAATATCACATCCTTGTGTGATAGCTTACACTTCGATGATTGTAGGTGCTGCAAAGTATGGACTTGGGAGATTAGCACTTGAACTCTTTGAAGAAATGATTCAAAGAAGACTAAAACCCAGCGATGTCACCTTTGTCGGTGTCTTACATGCTTGTAGCCATTCAGGACTTGTGGATGAAGGCCTTGGATACTTAAAATCGATGCCTGGAAAATATGGAATCATGCCTGATGCAAAGCATTATACATGTGTTGTTGACATGCTTGGCAGAACTGGTCGTCTTGATGAGGCCTACCAGTTAGCAAAATCTATCCAGGTTGATCCAAAAGCAGGTGCTCTCTTATGGGGCACACTTCTTTCAGCTAGTAGACTTCATGGAAGGGTGGATATTGCTGTTGAAGCTAGTAAGCAACTAATAGAATCCAATCAACAAGTTGCGGGTGCATATGTTACATTATCAAACACTTATGCATTGGCTGGGGAATGGGAAAATGCTCATAGTCTTCGCTCTGAAATGAAGCGTACAGGGATTCACAAGGAACCTGGCTGCAGCTGGGTTGAGATAAAGAATGAGACGTATGTGTTCTATGCTGGTGATGCATTGTGTGAAAGAGGGAGTGAGGTTGTGAGTTTGCTGAGAGAACTGGAGCTGAAAATGAAGGAAAGGGGGTATGTGGGAGGGAATAGAGGGTTGGTATTTGTTGATGTGGAGGATGAAGCCAAAGAGGAAATAGTGAGCCTGCACAGTGAGAGACAGGCTTTGGCTTTTGGGTTGGTAAGAATACCCAAAGGAATTACCATCAGAATAATGAAGAACTTGAGAATGTGTAGCGACTGTCATGAGGCTTTCAAGCTGATTAGTGACATTGTGGAGAGGGATTTTGTTGTGAGAGATGTAAATAGATTTCACCATTTTAAAAATGGGTCCTGCACTTGCGGGGATTTTTGGTGACTAATCAAACAGTTTTCATGTCAATTGTGCTCTACTGTAGCTGATTTGGTTCCATTGTGAACTTGCCTTAGTTTGATTTTGCCAATACGGTAATTGTTTCATATAATGGACATTTTCTCAATTTTATACCCATAAGTTACTCGATTCACCCATGCCACTCTCTACCGCCAATACTTGTTTAGACTTTGCCATCATTCAAAATTTAATCCAACCAACCAATCTGAAAAATAAAATCAACAAAATTCTTGCAATTAATTGTTGAATCAAAAACAACATTGTCAAAATACAGCCAAACTAGAAGGGGAACTGTTGAGCAAACAATCAAAATGTCTATATTTATTATTATAACAATTCAATTATGATACATGTTCCACAGAAATCTGCAAACAGAAATGAACAGCCCAAGTCCATAATATTCTAAACATATCATCTGAGAATTTGGTCTTGTATATACAGCAAGGGAAAATTTAAGAAAGCAGTAGAAGAGGCAAACAATGGCAATTTGAAGGCCTGTTTTATCAATGCTTGCAGCTGGCTTCCACCACCATGTCAATAGTCAATAAACCATTTCACCCAACTAAAATCAAGATTCTAATGTACTAACAATCAAATTCAACACAAAAAGTTTTTAACAGTTAAAAGAACTCATATATCGCCTGCCTCTCCTTCCAGTACCTCTTAAAAAAGGGTAGCTTCTCTCATTTGGCTAGAGATTACAAGTGCAATATGATATCTACACCCACAACAATAACAATTAAGATCAACATCAAATTCTCATAATCAGAGTTTTACTTCTTCCAATCACCTTCAAAATTGTTATGAAAAATAGTCTGCCAATTCACAAATGCAATGGCGTAATAATGGAACGTTACATTATAATACTACATACAAACACAAGTGAACTCAGCATTTTCAAGATTGTTCCAGTGACTTGACAGAACTCAGTGTTTTCATAAGTCCTGATTACTCATGTTCCATTTAGATAGGCAAATCTATAGAAATAAAATTTCGGTAACAATATGCATCTTGCTTTGTAAATTGTATTACATAGTAGAAAAGGGTTTAAAAGAATTTTTCTTCAGCAAAAGGAAGAAAGAAACTGTGTAATTTTTATTTTAACTGTCATTATCCTATCACTTGACTAAATATTATAATTGACTTGTTATGTGGATCCAAACACAAGCTCCTTAAACTGATAGTAAACAAACGGCAATACTATTTAACCTTGAACAGACTTGAAAGCACAAAACTATAAGCACAAAAAATACCTCCAATTATCCTGCGAGAAACTGAAAGAAGGACGGCCATAATCCCCCAAGAAAAATCCTCATTGAAAATAAGATAAAGAGAGAGTATAGCTTTACCGCAGGAATCTTTCTACAGCTCAAGGAGGAAGAATGAGCAGCAAGAGTTTGTATGCCTTCATATCCAAGGATCTCTTTAATCAGTTCATTGATGTAGCAGATGGGACAGCCTTGCCCGCAGTCCAATTGAAGGCAAAGCAATAGATTTTTTTTTATACATATATAAAAAACGAAAATAAATGATAAAAAAGCAAAACAAGGTTGAAAAAAATTCTTCGAATGGTAAATAATAAAAACTTTGCAAACCTTTGCTGTGGAGATTAATTTCTACGCAGAAATAACTCTGAACGATAAATACTTCCATGCAGGAAAATGAGAACGATTTGAGCTTCTTGTCTCACTTAGTGACAACAAAAAAGAAACTCGATCAAAACAAAGGGAGCTCTATGATACAACCTACAAAGAAACAAAAAATTAGTACATAGTAGATGCAAAGCAAAAGACTACAAGCCAGAGTTCCCTGTTAGTACCATAAGGGAAAGAAGCTATATCATGATGTCCCCACAGATTCAACTGATAATTATTAAGAAAACTGGCAGATTTAGTAAAAACAGAAGCTCAAGGTGACAATTTCACAATATACAGGGAAGCTTCCCAAAGAATACCATTTTCTGTCCAACAAAATCATTCATAACGGTAAGAAAACTTAAAGCTCTCACTAGGAAATTGGTCGGTCATCACTATATCAGTATTCAACCTCCTCAAAATGGTTGCCTCATGATTTCAATCTCTAAAAATAATTTTATTTGCTCGAGCTACAAAAAAAATTGGAGCCAAAAAATATAGTACTAACTTGCTACATAACCTCCAAATCCGCCCCCAAACAATATCCTATCCTCCTTTGCCAACCCACAAAAAAAAGCCTCAACGGTGTAGATGCTGTGCCCTTATCCATGCAAAATAACAAGCTGAACCATAATTTACAAAAATTACTAATCAATCTCACTTTGTACACATGTACTGAGAAGTAAAGAGTCGTTGATGACCACTTCTTTGTAGAAAAACCAAGCAAGTCCAGGCAGACACCTTCTTCCCAGTTTCTTTTCCTGATGCCTACCCAGTGGCGAAATGTAAACCAGACAAACACAATATATACAGTGTAAGCTAATCTCTAGCACCACCAAAACCAGAACAGTTTATGGCCTCCATCGCAAGCCGAACTAGACGAATGAGTCCATCCACATCCTGGAAGCTGAAATCAATCACCCTCCTAATAGTAGTAATACGCTCTGTATTTTGAGCCTCTTCAAGGGTTACATTAGCTACTGCAAAAGCATTCTGTGATTTTCTTGAGGCTTCCAGAGCAAAATTTACATCCTGTGTCTGCAAAACAGTACGCACACTAACATATTCATCCCCTTTTACCATCACAGAATAAATATAGCCAAACTAGACAGGACCTACACATCAAAACTATGATATCCACTAACAAATTTGATACTTAAATGATATAATAATTCCTTTATTTTTAATGGCATAGCTAAATAATCCAACAACTACAATAGTAAAGTACAAGACATATATCAGGAATCACTCCTAAATTTATGTAAGTAAAGCAAGTCTACCAAAGATAAAAAGCAAACTTTCATGCCAAAAGAATTTAGTCCCAGTATAGCACTAAATATGCTGAAAGTCGGTGGCTGAGAGTTCCCATTAACCTCCTTAACACTTCTTTATGCGATTTATACTCAAGGTGCTCTGCATAGTTTTCTCTATTAGTGAAAGAGGGAGTGAGGTTGTGAGTTTGCTGAGAGAACTGGAGCTGAAAATGAAGGAAAGGGGTTATGTGGGAGGGAATAAAGGGTTGGTATTTGTTGATGTGGAGGATGAAGCCAAAGAGGAAATAGTGAGCCTGCACAGTGAGAGACTGGCTTTGGCTTTTGGGTTGGTAAGAATACCCAAAGGAATTACCATCAGAATAATGAAGAACTTGAGAATGTGTAGCGACTGTCATGAGGCTTTCAAGCTGATTAGTGACATTGTGGAGAGGGATTTTGTTGTGAGAGATGTAAATAGATTTCACCATTTTAAAAATGGGTCCTGCACTTGCGGGGATTTTTGGTGACTAATCAAACAGTTTTCATGTCAATTGTGCTCTACTGTAGCTGATTTGGTTCCATTGTGAACTTGCCTTAGTTTGATTTTGCCAATACGGTAATTGTTTCATATAATGGACATTTTCTCAATTTTATACCCATACGTTGCTCGATTCACCCATGCCACTCTCTACAGCCAATACTTGTTTAGACTTTGCCATCATTCAAAATTTAATCCAACCAACCAATCTGAAAAATAAAATCAACAAAATTCTTGCAATTAATTGTTGAATCAAAAACAACATTGTCAAAATACAGCCAAACTAGAAGGGGAAATGTTGAGCAAACAATCAAAATGTCTATATTTATTATTATAACAATTCAATTATGATACATGTTCCACAGAAATCTGCAAACAGAAATGAACAGCCCAAGTCCATAATATTCTAAACATATCATCTGAGAATTTGGTCTTGTATATACAGCAAGGGAAAATTTAAGAAAGCAGTAGAAGAGGCAAACAATGGCAATTTGAAGGCCTGTTTTATCAATGCTTGCAGCTGGCTTCCACCACCATGTCAATAGTCAATAAACCATTTCACCCAACTAAAATCAAGATTCTAATGTACTAACAATCAAATTCAACACAAAAAGTTTTTAACAGTTAAAAGAACTCATATATCGCCTGCCTCTCCTTCCAGTACCTCTTAAAAAAGGGTAGCTTCTCTCATTTGGCTAGAGATTACAAGTGCAATATGATATCTACACCCACAACAATAACAATTAAGATCAACATCAAATTCTCATAATCAGAGTTTTACTTCTTCCAATCACCTTCAAAATTGTTATGAAAAATAGTCTGCCAATTCACAAATGCAATGGCGTAATAATGGAACGTTACATTATAATACTACATACAAACACAAGTGAACTCAGCATTTTCAAGATTGTTCCAGTGACTTGACAGAACTCAGTGTTTTCATAAGTCCTGATTACTCATGTTCCATTTAGATAGGCAAATCTATAGAAATAAAATTTCGGTAACAATATGCATCTTGCTTTGTAAATTGTATTACATAGTAGAAAAGGGTTTAAAAGAATTTTTCTTCAGCAAAAGGAAGAAAGAAACTGTGTAATTTTTATTTTAACTGTCATTATCCTATCACTTGACTAAATATTATAATTGACTTGTTATGTGGATCCAAACACAAGCTCCTTAAACTGATAGTAAACAAACGGCAATACTATTTAACCTTGAACAGACTTGAAAGCACAAACTATAAGCACAAAAAATACCTCCAATTATCCTGAGAGAAACTGAAAGAAGGACGGCCATAATCCCCCAAGAAAAATCCTCATTGAAAATAAGATAAAGAGAGAGTATAGCTTTACCGCAGGAATCTTTCTACAGCTCAAGGAGGAAGAATGAGCAGCAAGAGTTTGTATGCCTTCATATCCAAGGATCTCTTTAATCAGTTCATTGATGTAGCAGATGGGACAGCCTTGCCCGCAGTCCAATTGAAGGCAAAGCAATAGATTTTTTTTTATACATATATAAAAAACGAAAATAAATGATAAAAAAGCAAAACAAGGTTGAAAAAAATTCTTCGAATGGTAAATAATAAAAACTTTGCAAACCTTTGCTGTGGAGATTAATTTCTACGCAGAAATAACTCTGAACGATAAATACTTCCATGCAGGAAAATGAGAACGATTTGAGCTTCTTGTCTCACTTAGTGACAACAAAAAAGAAACTCGATCAAAACAAAGGGAGCTCTATGATACAACCTACAAAGAAACAAAAAATTAGTACATAGTAGATGCAAAGCAAAAGACTACAAGCCAGAGTTCCCTGTTAGTACCATAAGGGAAAGAAGCTATATCATGATGTCCCCACAGATTCAACTGATAATTATTAAGAAAACTGGCAGATTTAGTAAAAACAGAAGCTCAAGGTGACAATTTCACAATATACAGGGAAGCTTCCCAAAGAATACCATTTTCTGTCCAACAAAATCTTTCATAATGGTAAGAAAACTTAAAGCTCTCACTAGGAAATTGGTCGGTCATCACTATATCAGTATTCAACCTCCTCAAAATGGTTGCCTCATGATTTCAATCTCTAAAAATAATTTTGTTTGCTCGAGCTACAAAAAAAATTGGAGACAAAAAATATAGTACTAACTTGCTACATAACCTCCAAATCCGCCCCCAAACAATATCCTACCCTCCTTTGCCAACCCACAAAAAAAAGCCTCAACGGTGTAGATGCTGTGCCCTTATCCATGCAAAATAACAAGCTGAACCATAATTTACAAAAATTACTAATCAATCTCACTTTGTACACATGTACTGAGAAGCAAAGAGTCGTTGATGACCACTTCTTTGTAGGCAAACCAAGCAAGTCCAGGCAGACACCTTCTTCCCAGTTTCTTTTCCTGATGCCTACCCAGTGGCGAAATGTAAACCAGACAAACACAATATATACAGTGTAAGCTAATCTCTAGCACCACCAAAACCAGAACAGTTTATGGCCTCCATCGCAAGCCGAACTAGACGAATGAGTCCATCCACATCCTGGAAGCTGAAATCAATCACCCTCCTAATAGTAGTAATACGCTCTGTATTTTGAGCCTCTTCAAGGGTTACATTAGCTACTGCAAAAGCATTCTGTGATTTTCTTGAGGCTTCCAGAGCAAAATTTACATCCTGTGTCTGCAAAACAGTACGCACACTAACATATTCATCCCCTTTTACCATCACAGAATAAATATAGCCAAACTAGACAGGACCTACACATCAAACCTATGATATCCACTAACAAAATTGATACTTAAATGATATAATAATTCCTTTATTTTTAATGGCATAGCTAAATAATCCAACAACTACAATAGTAAAGTACAAGACATATATCAGGAATCACTCCTAAATTTATGTAAGTAAAGCAAGTCTACCAAAGATAAAAAGCAAACTTTCATGACAAAAGAATTTAGTCCCAGTATAGCACTAAATATGCTGGAAGTCAGTGGCTGAGAATTCCCATTAGCCTCCTTAACACTTCTTTATGCGATTTATACTCAAGGTGCTCTGCATTGTTTTCTCTATTACATGTTTCATATATCCTTTCCAGGCCTCATAAACTATTACAACATGTCCAGAGTAAGTGATGCCCATCTAATCACATATACCTAGATCAAAGCACCTTTAAAAGAACAATCATAAACAAGTATGTATTAAAAAGGTTTGGTAATATAAAAAAATAATAAAACTAGAAAAATGTAAGACTGCACACCACATTGAATCAACTTACAAAGTCAAGCAACCGAATAAAATTTGGGCGGTTTCGAGCAACTATGACATGGTTTCCAGTAATATAAGAAGGAGCACCCTTGGATGAAGTAGCCTTATCAGCTGTTACTTGATTATTTAAGTTATCAACATCTGATGCAGAAGAAGACGGAGATTCACCTGAGGAAATAACTCAAACAAGTGTTACATGAAGTACAATGTTTCAGGGAGGCTAGCATGTATCAACATATTTTCATTTTTGTCAAGACATATAAGTATTATCTACTAAAAAAAAAAGATCAAATGGGAGAATGCAGGACAGTAACACCTGTTTAGCTCTAAAAGATCACAAATTTAGAACTAAATTCCAAGTCAAAAGAAGCGAGAATGCAACAGTAGCTGGAAGTTTACAAAATGTTATATCAAATTCAAGAGATATGAGAGGATGTATTTTCATTAAAAAATAAAATAATAATTTTTCGGCATCCCATTCTTAAGTGGAACACTTCTCCCCAACAACTAAAAAAATTTGAAACATCTCAGAGCAGAAGATTAAAGTAATTTTAGCTAAAAATCTGAACCTCAAAACTGAAAAATAAATCTCAATAGTTTAACTACTATTAAGTTCTCAAACTATTACATCGTCCAACCTTTTCTTAAGAACTTGCTCCTACCAGATCTTCTTATAAGGTCAAAAGGAATACATCACCAATCAAAGCAGGTAGACCACTCAAATAGAAACAAGCCTTAAATATATACCAACCAACACTTCACTTCATTACCTTGAGAAGCAATGTGTAAAGTTGTTTGCAACTCATTCCCATCCCTACTTGCACTTGAATGTTTGCAGTAAACTACCCTCATATATGCAACCTCAATGCATTTATAGGCTAAAGCAGCAGCAGCCATCTCTTGACATCTTTCATATTCATGGGCACAGGATCTGTGAATCTCATTAACAAAAGTTACATGATAAGTTACACATTTGTACAAAATAAGTTGAAAAAGGAAATACCTATAGACTCTCACAACTATATAAATACTACAACTAACATACAATCAAATACAACTTCGAACTCAACTTACTCATAAAGTTTAGCTGCAGTGTTATACGCTTGTATTGGAGTTATCTCCCCATTTTTTCCACTCTCATTAGTGAAAGTTTCTAGAAGAAAAGCCCCATGAAGAAACTGTAGGGCAGCTTGGAAGTAAGCCTCATTACTTTCAAAATCAAAGCCTGAGCTCTAGAAACAATGAAACCAAGGAAAGAGTTAGAAATCAGAACAGAATATCAAATATCAATCCCAGAAACAAAATCTAAAAACCGGAAAAGACCAAATTGAGAAACCTTAAGGCGATCTGCATAGTCTCTGAGCTCTTTGGCTTCTTTCAGGGCATTAGTAGCATTCTGACTGGAGGATTTCATACTTCTACAACTTGGACTGTGCTGAGCTCCATTCCTGTTACCCACAGTTCCTGGATGATTTGATGCTTTTGACACATCACCTTTGCGAGAATCAACTGGAATTTCATCAAGCATCCCTTCCCTTTGGGATCCCGGCACTAATTGGTGAACCCCCATTTTTTGTCCACCATTACTTTGACAAAGTGATACCAACTTCGATATCCCATTTCTTTCCTCTCTTTGTAAATGATTAACCTTCTTTTCAGCCCCATAATCCAGCATCAGGTTTTGCTGGGAGGCAACTTTTCTATTGGTATTAGCACACAATTTCAAATTTGAATCTTGATTTTCCTTAACTGCAACCTGCTTTTCCATTCTACCATCACTTGGCAATTGCCTTTCAAGATCCCTCCTGCTAATGAGAGTCTTCTCATCCTCAGAAAACTTAGACCTAGACCTCTCAGGAATTCTATTTTTATCTTCATTTCTAATTTCCTTGCACATTGCATGATTAGGAACGTCAATCTCTGATTCATACTTCACATTCTTCTTCAAAAAAGATTGATTAATCTCACCAACACCTTCCCCATTCCAGCAACTTCCAGGATTGCTGTCAACAGGTGGACGATTACTTCCACCATCATCTTTCCCAAAAATTTCCTCTGCTGTTGATGTAAGTTTATCTGGATGGAAGGTCCTAAATGGAGATGAGGACACTGACTCTACTGGTGAGCCTTTGACTTCTGCAAAGTTTGCTCTATTTTTATGAGAACCTGTAACCTTTGAAGAGCTTGAAGTTGTTGCCTCAGACACTTCTCCAGATCCAAAAACCCTTCTCATTAAATCTATGCCATCCAAAGCATGTTGAGATGCTAGTTTTCTTCTGGGTTTCTGAAGTTGCTGATCCTTATCAACACTTCTAACATTTTCCATACCATCAACAAGATGATCGTTACTTGACATGAAAGGTGTCAGCCTACTGTTAGATTTATGACCAGCACCTTTATTTGCACTGGAGTTCTTTCCCGCAGTCTTTTGAACCCTGGGTTTCTTTTCCCACCCAGACCCAATTTCACTGCTTTCCTCCTTTATATATTCCTTACTATCAAGCCCATTAAGATTCTCCAGTTGCTTTCTTTTCTTCACAGAATTATTTCTTAAATCTTGTGTTTTCATATCCAAGGATCCACCATCCAACGAGACCTCAGCTTGATCTCCCAATTTCTTCCTAGGAAGAAGTAATTTGTCCTTCATATCACCCTTCACATCCTCTAAATAAGAGAACCCATATTCCAGCATTCTCTTCCCACCTGCCTTAGATTGCAAACCAGCACTTGTCTGGTGATCCACCCTCCGAATGTCCACATCACAATACTTATGTTTGTCCGTTGCACACATATCTTTTATCTTAGATTTCTTCAAAGTTGCATAATCATGTTGATCAGCACTCCTCTTGTTTTTTATATTTAACTGCTTGGCATCACCTGAAGATATAAGACAAAAGAAGCTAAGTAACTATATACAATCAGATCAATAGTCTGAAAACCAGTAGAAAATCAGTCTAAAATGAGTTACACACCTCCATTCATTTGCTTTTCTTTTGATTTACATTTGTCCTTCCCAGCATTCAAGTTGCATGACATATTGAAATGGAGAGAATTTGGTTTCTTCATAATCTTTGATTCTGGAAGAGGCTGGTTCATTTCATTTATACTTCTACTTTTCACAGAATCCCGCAGTTTGTTCTTAGTGGACTTTGATGTCTGAATCCCACCACTACCATCTGCTTTAGGAATTTCCTTCAAGCCATTATTTTTCTTTCCACGAATTGAAACAGAACTGAGGCTCTGGTCATGCTGTCTGCCATGAGCTAAAGTTGTCACTGAAGCAGTTACATTACCATAATTTTGAATGCTATTTTGACCCTCAATAACCGAAAGTTGGTACAATGCCCTGACAGCTTTTGTTGTCTCCTCCTCACTGATATCACACCGATTCATTCCAGGCCTAGACAATATATCAAAAGCAAAAAAATCAAACACAGAGAGACATGTGTTTTATGAATAAATGAATGTCCATATATCTGTGCACTTATATAAATTTACGCACAAAACACATACATAGTGAGAGTGCATACATAAACAATGATAACCATGCATAACAAAAAGAATTAGGAGTTTATCTTAAGTTTTTTACTTAACACCATAAATCAATTTTACTGGATAAGCTAATATTTCATGCTCATGTATTATCCAAAAATAGGAGGAATGAAACTTACAGCCAGTTTAGCATGCTACACAACCAATCATCTGGGAATTGCTCAGGCTTTGTTCCAATTGGTAGCAGCCGCCACTTCTCACAACTGTCACAACAGACCCAGTTCTCTTCTATAAGTATAGGATTCACTACAGCTGCAACACTTTCAGTACCATGTCTACTTTCCAGATTACAAGGACCTTCAAATGGAGCATTGTTGACAAATGGCCCATGCATTGCATGATTGGACACTTCTTTACCACTAGAATTTTCCCATGATTTATCCAACAATGCATCATGTTTGAGTTCTACTTCCAAATTATTTGGGCCAAAGTCCTTCGGCCTGCCACCAGACTGCCTCTCCAATGGATTCTTTGACTTCCCCAAATTTGCATCTGCAAAATCATAACGAAAATTCTTGTCCTTATTCATATCTTTTCCCAATTTCAACTTCTGCTTCTTACTTTTGCATGTAGAAGCATCATAAGCAGCAGTCGTATCTTTTGGTGCCATACCAGTACCATTCCTCGAGCTTTGCTTTACTGAAAGAGTAAAAGCTTTTCCTCTTCTTTGGTTGCCATTTGACTTCTTACCTTCAATGAATGGATTAGTTCTCACACCATACTCATCAGTTTTATCTCGTACATTATTTGGAAGTTTCTTATCAACCTTCTGTTTTCGAGGAGCTATTGCAACTTCAATAGATTTGGATCCGTCTGAATGAGATTTTGAAGGGGCAATTGCTTTGTTGTCTTTACACCTGCCATTTTGCATATGGTAATGTGAAACATCATTCTGAGAACATACCCCTCCCTGTTCCCAAACCCGTTCAACCAAACCGCTTTTACTATTCTTCTGACTCCCACCACTGTCCTGGCCAGATATTGACTCTAATGAATCTTCCATCCCCAAGTTGGATGAAAATAGTATATTGCACCTCCCATCCTTATTAGCCTCCTCAAGGATTTCAGATGCACTACCTGTGCCTTTCACAGAGTCAAAAAAACAAATTGAATTTGCTAGAGGTATGCATCTTAAGGAATTAGAATTTATCTCCTTACACCCTAAGGTCTCAATTTCAAATTCTTTCTTTGGAAGAGAAGTTGTGTTACTCTCATGCTTCATATCAGTCATATGCTTTAGTGCTCCAGGTCTTCCACTCTTTCCCACTAATTTTGTTTTCTTCTCTTTTAACACTTTCCCATCACGCATATTAGCAAATGAATCATCTGCTAACAAGGTAGAATGTTCTTGTCTGCTCCTGAGGAGAGGTACAGGTTCCCACCCTTTAGAATCCTTTCCTATCAAGCAAAGCAGACTTTCATGAAGTGGTGATATCAGCACACCCTCAGGGACTGCAAAGGAAGTCATCACCTGTTTTGCACAAACACCATCAGTTATCCCTAAAGTTCAACTAGTGATAAAAAAAAAAAAACAGATATGCGAAACATATAAAGGACCGTTACCTCAAGAATACTAGTGGGAGATTCCTCAGCAGTCTCTCGAGGTACAGGATCTCGTCCTCCATTTACCTCAGCACTGTTCCCCAATGATGAAGATGGAGAGTTCTCAATCCCAAGACCGCTATTTATTGCCACACTTTTGTGAGCCATTTTATCAGAACTCACTTTTATTCGAACTCTCAGTATTCTTTGATTGGTCAAATTTTCAGATTTATTTGGACTTCCATCCTTCAACTTAAACTTCTCAGCAACTTGAGAAGATATGGGCAAATGATGCTTCACAGAAACACCTCCAGGTAGCATCCCTGAGTTCAGAAGTGAGTGGTCACTGCAGGAAGCAATGGCAACTCTCGCAGAGAGGGGTGCATTTGAGGTAGGCTTTAAATCTTGAGAGGCACCCTGCATGATAACATAACCCACAGTTCTAAAGTAAATTGGCTTTTCACGAGCTGTAACTATCAGTTGTCTAAACTTGCTTACTAGCAAATGTCAAAACATAAAAATAAAATTTGTCCATTTACCTCCATGGAAAAATTATACTGAGATCTTAGTGCGGTGGAGTCTCTTTGTGGAGTCTTTCGACATACTTGAGTTGAGGGTAACCGTTCATGTGTAGGTAAAAATGAGCCATACGGACCGAATTTTGCCCCTATCAGAACAATTAATACATCATAAGATCATTGGCATATAAGGACTTTGATTACCCTGCTCAACTGTGATTACATAGGCTTTTCATTACCAGCAACTTCCATTGTATGCCACTTACCCAAATTATCTACAGAAACCGCACCATCAAAAGCTTTTAGATGATGCCCCAGAACAATTTGAACTTTCTCATCCTTCAAGAAAAAGAAACTAAACCATTTACTAGTGCCATTACAAATATTGAATTAGAAACACTTTATAAACCAAAAGTCAATCTTCGAAAACACAGGTAGTTTGAGGAACAACAAATCATTAGACTATCTGTTATTAGCATCCAGAAAGAATCTCATATCATTAGGTTAACTATATATATGAACAAGTTCTGAAGCACTAGTATCACATATAGTGTCAACCCTATGATTGACTGCCTTCTTTCCTGTAATTTTCTCCGGAAAGAATCAATGAGTCTATGATTGCCAGGCTCCACTGGAAGCTAAGTCATTTTCAAAGTCGTAGAGATAAACCATGCAGAATTCTAGAAAAGCAGATGTATGGTTTGAATATCCTCAACAAAACCATTTCCCATAAAGATAAAAACATTTTAAAAAAAGTTGCCGCATTGTCCTTCAATCAATAATGAGCGCCTTAAACATACCCTTTTCAATTCATTTTAGAACAAAACAGCTAAACCACCCAGTAAATGCACACACAAAACAAGTTTCAAAGAGTTTTTCCTTCATCCGCCGCTTGATTACTGAGAAAACCAAGCAAAACAAAAGTACCAGGGAAAGTTTGAACCACTTGTGATCATTTTTTCCATTCCAAACATGAAAATTTCAACTGTATAACAAATGTAGCTTTCCATGGAAACAGAAATCTCAATTTCAGGGAAAAAAAAATCACTTTATTTCAATTTCTTTCTCATGAGAGCAACATCCCCAACCAATACATTGCATACAGCAACACTTAATTTATTTTGATTACCATTGCAAGTCTTGATTAATCTCCACAATTAAGAAAAATCCTAATTTTTGTTTTAGAAGGGAAAAAAAAAGACTCAAACTTGAATGAACTAGAGCACAGAATTCAGTGGATAAAAAAAGTAACACAAAAGAACAACCCTTACAATGTAAGAGAGATCAGTGTCAGGGTTAATGTCTTCTTCGTCACCCTTGCAATAGTGAGCCTCCCCCTCGAGCTCAAAATTCTCATCCATCTTTACCATCCAAAAATAAAATAAATAAATAAATAACAACCCTAACCCCAAAACCCTAACTCTCCACCTTCCCTAAAATCCAACATCACTAAGAAAGAAAGAAAAAAAAAAAAAAAAAAAAAAAAAAAAAAAAAAGCACATGGAAACCCACAAAGGAAATCACCCAAACAGAACTTTTAAGTTCATTAAACCAAAAACCCTTGTCGAAACATTACCAATGACCCAATCCAAAATAAAATTTAAAAAATATATATTTTTTATTCTTAATAATCCTTCAATCTCTGTCTCGTGATCAGACGGCGGAAATTGAAGACCCGATAAGCGCCTCACTTTGTTAATTTTTTGAAATTTCCAGTTTCTCTGGTTTTGTCTCTGAAATGAGGAGCGGAGACGGAGCTGCGTTTATGCTTTGTATATTTTTTCTATTTTTCGGGAGTGTTTGGTTGGGTTTATAATTTATTTATTTAATTTATATTTTCACTTTCTCTTTCCTTTTTCGGTGCTCTTTCCCTTCTTCGGGCTCGCAATTTATTTTTATAGGCTTCAAGCAAAAATTAAATATTATTCTTTTCTGCGATTCCTTTCCTTTGAAAGATTGCGTTGGTTGATGGCGCGTCGTGATGAGTGAAGAGTCCGTCTTTCTTCCGCTGTTTGGGAACAAGACAAAACAAAACTGCGTGTCGAACGGCGCCGTTTGGAGTTTAGTTGTAACAGTATAATAATGGCTGCTTGAGACTCACTTACGTTGTGCTTGTGTTTTGCCTTATTTTTGTCATCTCCATTTCATGATTCTGACCATTCTAACTCAATCAATCTTCCATCATTTCGTCTTTCTTCAAAATCCCATACAAATTTGACCCATTAATTATTTAATCAATATTCTAAAATCATTCTCTCTCTCTCTCTCTCTCTCTCTGTATATATCATATAAAGCATAATGAAAATCATGGTCAATTTTTTTTTTATAATTCCGTCTACATTATTTAAAAAATTATATATTGCACGTCAAGTTGTATTCCAAACCATTTTTTGATGACCGAGTAGGGCGACAGAGACTCTTAAGTATGTGATTCAAGAAGTTTTAAGTTCAATTTCTTTGGGTTACTAGTAGAGGGTTTACTCGATCCTTAACTTCAGAGCATCAAGGGTCGCTAGACACTAAACAAAAAAAGTTTTGTTTCAGTTTTTTTATAACGTTACATGTTATAAGATATTATTTAGGATATCCTATCATTTATTATCTAGTGTGCATCTGATATGCTAAATAAAATACGGGATTTTTCATATTAAAATCATAATTATATAAATATGTCAATAATTTTAGGATTCGTTATCTAAATCAATGATATTATGTTATTGTCTATTATATTTTCTATGCTATTTATTGGAAAATATCCCACAATAAATGCAGTGCTTAATACAATTAACAAAATTAGTACAAGATAGGGATTTTATTTAATTATAAACCTCCTCCAATTAAGAGAGAAAACAAGGGGAAAAAAAAGCCATAAATGGCGGGTTTTTACGTTGAATTATCAATATATATTTTTCTCGAATATAGGGGAGTTGGCGTTTTCTTGTCAAAATAAGGGTGAAGTTAACATTAAGCATTGTTTGTTTTAGTTACCTATCGATTAAAATAGTTTATTTAAAGACATAAACACTTTTAAAACAAAGTATGTATTTATAGGATTTATTTTATGGCTTATGAGAGAATTAGAGATGCTCTCATAAACTCTTTTGGAGCTTATTTAACGTGTTTGTTGATACTTGATTTTGACACTAACTATGCACGCGTGTGAAGTGCTAAGCGGACTCAGAAATCACACGTAATATGGAAGTATAAAAAGAGATGCTGAGCAAGTAGCAATTTTTAAAGTGGTTCGTATGCTCTAAGGTGAATCCTATGTCCACTATGATTATATTAATGATTGATTGCAATCAGGTCGCACTCGGCAAGCTGAATTACAACAGTAAAATAAATGGAGAGACAGAGAGAGAGAGAGAGAGATGGATGAGTCAATCCCGTAAAATAGAGGAGAGTCCTCTATTTATAGTTGGAGGATTCAAGTTAGTAATCATGATTCTGCGTGCGGGCAGGTGTGGTACAATTTCTAACCCGCTTCCCATTGGTTGTCTGCACGAGAGATATCTTTAAATCGCGTAGGGCTTTAGCAAGTGGACAATTCCTAGCCACTCATAAGTCTAGCGTTCACCTGCCTCACTAACGATGGCCTTACCCCTCTCGTCCTTGCGGGACGTGGCTGCATCTAGACGGCAGAATACCTTCTTGAATTCTGATTGGTTTCTGCTGATTTATGCTTACGCCAGCCCTGATTTTTGAGCATAGCAGAAGCCCCCTAGTTTTTAAGGTTTAAGGATTGAACCTTGAGAATTTCATTATTATGCAGTGACTTAACTTGTCCTGGATGACACTTGATCGAGCCGATCAAGCTGCATGGATCCCTAAGAGCTACACTAGCAACCTGATGTGGTTTTTTATGGCAGGTTCAGCGACCTGATTTAAATCACAATCAGTGCCATATCAACATGCCTTGAGTCTCGACCCTAATTTGCGACCTAAAAAAGTCTCATCACATCTCTCATCAAAGGCGATGAGTAGCATTGTTTTGAAATCGACACGCGACGAAGAGTGTTAATTCGAACGATCTCTTCAGATGTTATCTGTTGCGTGTAACGGTTCACCTAACCAATAAAATATCTTTTATTCTGACAGGCTTGTCCATTACACAATATGTGCCAGCCATGCACATTTAATGCGAGCCATGCTAAAATGACATTCTCCTTCAGGACATTAAATGTAGATAGGGGAGCATTTAATGTGGAGGAGGGTAACCGTGCCGTCGTTTGGTTATTCCAATGGAGGGAAACATCAATTGGTGTTTACAAAGCATGGGGGTTACTCTTCTCGCGGATGAACGACACGTGGTCGCAATTAATGGCGAGAAACGTATCCTGTCCAAACGTCGCTTGCTTAGGAAACTAACCGTCACTTTCCCCTTATAAAACCTCGAATTTGCTTCAGACTTTTGCCACAGAATTCACATTCTCAGAAAGAAAAACGAAACTTTCACAAAGGTCAGCCTGCCTTCTTTCGTTGATGCGCACCGTCTGTTATGACATAAAACTCTTCCCCCGCCACCAAGAGGTAAGAAGGGTTTCTCCCTCGCTTTCTTTCATTACTCGACTAGTCTGTTTAACTTTCTTGGTAATGGCAGGTATAGGCTGTCCGGTAAGCTTTTGCAGTGCGTATCCTAGGATAGTGGTGAGGAGAGGGGTTTGGTTTTTCTTAAAGACGAGAAGTTAGGGCATAGATCCTTAGGGGTTCACCCCCTAAAGGTCTTTAAGGGTTTTTCTAGGGTTTTAGAAGGATGCATTAGGGTTTCTCTTGTCCTTCTACGTCATCGGACGGAACACTGTATGATGACTGAGCCTTTTTCTTTCTTTTATTAGATATATTTTTTTTATTACGTCGCCCTTTTTTCAGACCTTAGGAGCAATGGACGCCTCAGCTACCAGGGCAGCCAAGGGCACGAGCTCGCAGGCGCCAGCCGCCCAAGCAAGTCCCGTGCCAAAGACCTTGTCAGTGATCACCCAAGAGGAGATACAAAAGGCAGTGGACCAATACGCGTTTAGTGTGAATGTCTATCAGCACAAAACCCGTACGGCTCAAAATCCCCCAAAGGGAAAAGCCGTAATCTCGGAGATGATCTTTAAGTGTAGGGCGCTGATACCTTTTCATCCTTTCGTTAGGTCGATCCTTAACCACTTCGAGGTTGCAACAATGCAATTAACTCCCAATGTGTAGATGATAGCTATTGCTATGTATATCACATGTAGTGAAAACGGCCTTGGCAAGCTGATAGCACTGGAGCTCGCATGCTCTTCCTATCTGAAGAAAAGCAAAGATAAAGATTCTTTCTATCTCTCGAAGCGATCTACGATTGAGGGAGGAATATTTGGTTACCCCAGTAATGTCGAGGCTTATGAAATCAAATTTTTCTTTTTTGAATACGATGACGTCTGCCAGTTTAGGGAGCCAAGTAGGTTTTTTCTTTTCATTTGCGAACTGTTCCACCTTCGGTTCTTGTATCTAATGAAACTTTTTCTCTTCGCAGGAAATAAGACGACCAGGTTGGCAAATCTAACAGATTACAACCAGATTGTTGTGTTCGGTCGTCTCCTAGACCATTGTCGCGACGCGAAATTGCTCATGACTACTGTCAACTTAAGGAAGTATGACTTTTTTAATCCGGAAGCATCCTTGGAGTCAGACCGTGAGTATCCTCATACTTAGAATGCTTTTTGGTTGCCTGCAGCGACTTGTTTCACTAGCACATTTTTATGGTGCGCAGCGATCATGCCATCCAAGGTGCCGAGAAAGTTCGTATTTCTCTAAGTCGCTTTAAATGAGCTAGTCGAGGTGGTCCCTGGTGATATCCCCACAGGAGGGATACAAATTGGCGTCGAAGGGCGAACACCCCCGAGCGACGTGAAGAAACTTCTCGGTCCGCGGCTGCTCACGCCCCCAAGCAGAAAACCATGGGCCAAAAGACTAAGAAAAGAAAACAGCTACAGGCCGAGGAATTGGAGTCTGAGTCAGAGGGTTTTGGGGTGCAACTTGGGAGTTTGCAGCCTTACCAGGTTTTTCGCTCGAGGCGCATACTGGGCTTCTCGGCGATCCCTGAGAGTGCGGGCAGAAGAGAGGGGGAAACCGTGGTTACCCACAAGAAAGCAGGCAAGCAGTGGTTCGATGAGTTCCCAATTCCAGCAGGGGCTAGCACACCAGTGTTGGATTCCATGGGGCAACTCCTAGAGCACTTGCAGTCAGTGGTGTATACCCCATTGGAGTGTCAACCGGCTTCGGCCTTTGAGGAGTTCGTGGCTTCTTGGCCCATGGACTTGATGACCATCGCTCTCCAACTGCAAAGCTAGGTAGGGCAGCTCGTCCTCATTGAGGACTTCAACCTTAGCTGATTTTCTGGCCTTAATAATTTTTGGAAAAATGGGGTTAACTCTTGCTTTCTTTTTTACAAAGACCCTGCTCGCCTTGCAC